CAAACTACTCACTAAAACATTGTCACTACGTCTCCGCTCCGTTATTAGTTCAATTATACATACTGACCAAACTTGCAGCATTCCAAACCGTCGCATTCATGACAATATCAACTTACTTGATTGTATTGATTATTCCAACATTAATAACTCTCCTCTAGGTATTGTCGCCCTAGACCAAGAAAAAGCTGTTGATAGGTTTCATCATGAATACCTTTTTAAAACTTTAAAAGCTTTTGGATTTGGTCCTGGTTTTATCGGTTATACCAATCTCATATATTATAATGCACAGTCATTAATCAGAATAAACAGCTCCCTCACATCCCCTGTTTTACTTTCTCGGGGCATACGTCAAAAGCTGTTCATTATCATCACTTTTTATGTCATTGCTATCGAGCCATTACTTGATAAAATCATGAAAGAAAGGGTATAACAATCCATAATAGTAATGGCCGTCTCTGCAAATTGACAGTTAATGTAGACGACATCGAATTTTTCATCACTCGCCGCGGGTGTACTTGGGCAACATTAAGCTTTTCACGGATAAGTGCTGGTACAAAAGGTCGAAAATAAGATTGAGTTTTGGTCGCATTTTGCACCCAGCATGTGCTATAGAGGGCGCTCACTGATCAGTGATTATTAACAATGTGTTATCTTCACAGTTACTATACAGACTGCACAGCTTATCCCCTCAACCTGACTTCATTACTTCCCTTCAAAAAACATTTGTTATATTTCTGTGGCAAGGGCTCCATTGAATCCCGGCCGAAACATATATTATATTTACCTTTAGAAAAAGGTTGACAGAATGTTACTAACCTACCAACACGCATTAACACCATGCGTATTGAATACGTTCAAAGATATCTTTATTCAGATTACGACCACCCAAGCTTCAACTTTACAGACTACTGTTTTAATACCACCAACAACAATTTAATGTATGCGCGCCATTTGCGTCGCACCAAACTCAATATGTCACTTCTTCATCTCCCGTCATTTTATTCAGACTTACTACATTGTTGGGAATCATTAGAGAATGACGTAATCGTGATCTTAATGCGACTTTAGTTTACTGATGAACTTCTTTTTCATAACCCGCTCATACGTCATCCAGTACCGAATGAACCATTTCTTTTAAAACACTTTGTCGATGCAGGAGTTGTAAGGATTGGGGATATGTTTGACACTTCAAACAACAACAAATTGTTGTTTTCAAGCTCACATTTTGTGAATAAAGTCAATATCTGCTATCAAAGTAACCCTAATCTCAGTCTCGAGGTCATCCACGATACCATTCCAACTAAGTGGAAAATGTCATTAACACAAAATTTAAAAACAACGATGCGAATGAGCCACCTGCAACACATCTAAGCTTTCATTTGCACGAGTCGGATGATTTAAACTTACCACTGTATAAAATTGAAAAAGGTGCAATATATAAATATGTGTTATTGTGTGTTTGTCGATTTTAAAAAAAGCGTTCGACCATATTAATCATTATGTGTTAATCTTTAAATTGCTAAAAAATGGTCTTCATGGTCGCTTTTTTTCAAAATTGTACAGTCTATGTTCAGCAATATAAAGTCTCGAGTACAAAGCCCAAAAGGGGTAACGGAAACGTTTAAATGTCTATGTGGGGGTTCAACAAGGCTCTATTTTGTCACCTCTTCTGTTTGCCTTGTTTATAAACGACCTTGGTGACTATTTGGAGCACAGACTTTCAGGTGTATATGTTGGTTTACTTAAATTGTTTTACTTACTCTTTGCTGAAGATTATTCAGGCAAATGGAAACCTAAAGTCAATATTAGTAAAACAAAAAATGTAGTTTTTAGAAATGTCGGCAAATTAAGGCATTATGAGAAATGGCACTACAATGGTGAACAACTTCCGGTTGTGCCTCATTTTTGTTATCTGGGTATTACTTTTTCGAATAATGGTCGCTGGTTTAGATCCCAGAAAGTGATTGCGGAGCAGGCGAGTAAAGCAATATTTGCTTTAAAAAAGATACTAGCAAAATACATTTAAGATTTAAAGATTTTTGACTGTAAAATTTTACCAATATTGATGTATGGCAATGAAGTTTGGGGTTTTGACAAAGGGGTAAATATTGAGGAAACACATCGCAAGTTTTGTAAATTTATTTTAAATTTGCTTACAACCACAGCAAATTCTGTAATTTATGGAGAATTAGGCAGACTACCACTAATCCATTTGCGTTACATACGTATTATTAAATTTTGGTTGAAAATTTTAAAAATGCAAACACAGCGGTATGTTTACCAATATTACCTTTTCCAGTATAAAGAAGCGGAAAACAACCGTAAATGTTGGGCTTTCCAAGTCAAAGAACTACTATTTTCGCACGGTTTTGGTTTTGTTTGGTTAAACCAAGGCGTGGAAGATAACTGTTCCTTTTGTCTCTATTCACCCAAAGAGTTCATGATATGTACAAACAAACTTGGTTTACAGATCTTAACAATTATCCTAAACTCAATAAATACAGAGATTTTAAGATTGATTTTGGATGTGAAAAATATTTGCATTTAATAAAAGACAACAAGTTACGTTCTGCGCTATGTAGGCTTAGAACATCATCCCACAACCTTCGGGTTGAATCTGATCGTAAACTAAACATACTGAGGAATATGAGAATCTGTAAATTATGTAATTTAGGGTTGGTTGAGGATGATACCATTTTTGCCTGGTATGTCCACGTTATGTAAATCTTAGAAAAATATTTACCTATATTTTATCTGTCAATCAGACTTACGAAAAATTTC